AAAGATGCATTTCTGGAACCCGTTTTTTTCACCCCCCTTTTGTAAGACGTGGGTCACGGTTGACAACAACCTCGTATTCTATTTTAGCGCCCCTTGTGGTGAACTACAGGGTAAGCTTTGTAAGCTTTTTACGAATAGACGACGACGCTGTTCTTTCGTTTATGTTCGTCGGTAAATGAGATGGATTAGATTTTTTCATCTTGGTGTTTTCTCTATCGTGTGAGCTCCACACGTTCACTCTATACAGTGTTGTTTACATTCTGTGATGCGCGAGTTGATGACGTCACGTCAAGACGAGTCAACTTTTTTTTCCTCTCAACTTTGTGTGGAAAAATGCGGGGATTATGCGGCCTTTTGATAAATATGCGGCCTTTTAAAAATCTGCGCCATTTTGCTGATTATGCGGTCAATTCTGCGATCGCAGAATCGCGTTTTTCTGGAGGGTCTATCTAGTAGACCTCAGCAATGGAATTATGATGAGTAGAAATGGCCATATCATGGGACCTTTAAGTGATCACATTTATTTTTCAGAAAATACTTGAAACTATCAATTCAGAACAAACAATCAATAGGAAAATGTTTACAGAGTTTACAATGCAATTCACAATGGTAAATTGCTCATAGACTTCTATGCAATCAGATCTCTTTTGCAATAGAGGAGTCATCCCTTGTTGGATATTAGAAATAATGTAAGTTTAAGCACTTGGTAAACTTGCTTTATTTTTTTATCTTTTTAATATGATCTACAATATGTTACCAATACAATATAAAGTTCATGCGGTAAACACTATTGTTAAGAATGTAATGAGAGAAAAGAGGTCAGTTAAAATCTGCAGATGACCATGGTTTGTCCCAAAAATGCTTGTTGGACTTGGAAGATAGCAAAAGTTCAGCAACAAAACAAGGAGTGCAGCTTCTCTCAGCCTGTGCTACTCTATATAGACAGCATGAGGGTAAAGCCTGACACTCGTCATATTTTAGCATTTCCCTGCTCCTCATTATTCTCGTCAGAAAACTGCCATACCTGTGGTATATTTATTCATTTCTGGCAGATGGCAGGAATTATAAATCTATTTCACAGATAGCATCAACCAAAACAGAAAATAGGAAAATTCATTGGACAGCAGAAAATCTACTATAATGGATTTCTGTGGAGGAAAAAAGCAGCTTATATGTCACATTTTCCAACTTCCAGATTTGTGTGAAGAGGCTGAATTTATTCCACCGTGCTCCTTAGTGACCCCCTCACCACCTCACGGTCTGAAACAACACCCATTCAGTTTTCCTGGAAATGTAATCTTTGACAAGGAGGGTGATTCAGCTTGAGTGTGGGGCTAAATCTGCAATGAGTCAGTGCATCATTTCCTTGTATCTAACTTAGGAGAACAGCAATAAGACCCTCTGTGCCAAATAATAAATAATATATTTCATCTAAAATAACAGGTGTGGAGGCTATGACTCAAACATTTCTCATTCTAGTCGTCCTGTGAAAGTCGATAACAAAATCATTAACATTCATGTAACTATTCATTTATGACATCCCATTTGTTAAGTCAATCGCAAGCTCAAATTATAATGCTACAATTACGACCAGTTACATTAATTAAACGGTTAGTAACTTTGTTAATTTATTTTTTTTGTAATTAGGTGTTTACAAGACATGACAGTAAAGACTTACAAATGTTCACCGAAACAATATACACACAAATGACAAAATAGTTTGTGTGTGTGTGTGTGTGTGTGTGTGTGTGTGTGTGTGTGTGTGTGTGTGTGTGTGTGTGTGTGTGTGTGACTACGGGGTTTTGTTTCTCTATGTATGGGTAGAAGAAAGAGTGAGCAAGATAAAAATTAATCACGTCAATAATAAAACAAATAATAATAATATAAACAATATACCAAATAAATGCATTGGTCAAAAAAAGTAAGAATACTAATGATAATCTTAATATTTAAGATAACCAAAGGGCTCTGTTTTTTTTTTATTAATCAATATGAGTTATTTCAGAGCTTAAATTCAAATGCAGACCAGGCACGTGCACACATAGACATCAAAGTGGGCTTGAGCCCCTGCCCTTTTTCTTCCTCCAGAGAAAGTGCCCTTTTCCCCCGCTTTAATTTTTTTTAATATATGAATATATATCTACTGCTGTTTGCGCACAGTTTCCCTTTCCAAAAATATATTGATTGAATAAAAAATGAAAATATCAGATAGGGAGATTAGACTTTGAAGTTCCGATGCTCTCTCTACCCTCCCTCCCTCCACGTCTCCTTCACAGCGGTGCGGACATCGGCAGTCACTTGACAGACAGGTAGCAGCACCTCCCACTTTACTGTCCCATGTTATGCCGGCTTTTCTTGGCTTGTTTTGAAGGTGAGTGGTGATGTACAAATTACTAAACTGCCAGTGCCTCGAGTTTACAGCTAATTAGCTAAAAGACAATAACAAATATAGTTAACTAAGGTAGGCTAGCTAATGGATAAGTTAGCTCAAGGTTTAGCGAGGGCAATTTATCATGGGCATACAGGCTAATGTACTGTACTTAAGGGGAGACGGATACTAAAGGTGAATACAGTAAAATGTGTATCTAATTACGTCATCACAATCGCTACATTGATATGCAAATTAGGCTTTAACTAGGCCTAATTAAAATGCGCTAATTTGCATGCAGTTACCAAGGCACTGCAGGTGAAAAGGATAAAACAAAAAAAAATCACCTCACAACTTCCCCAGATAGTTATACGTCAAGTCAGTATTTTCCCCTGAAATGTTATGTTTAAATGCAGATTAGCTTTAAATCTATAGATGAATTCAGACATAGTAAAACAAACACCATTTTTCTTGGAAGTTTTATTTCCATTAGAGTGAAAGAAAACATGGAAGCAAAATAGACCAAAATAACAAGTAGGCTACATAAAAAAACGATATTTTTGCCTGTAATGCTAAACAGTAACTTCATAATTTTGATTGTTGGCTGCTCATTTAATAACTATTAATTGTGCTAGTTTGTTGTCTGCTCTTATGCGTAGTGAATAGCCTACTCAAGAAGACTATTGTCTCTGTGTCAGCTGATTCTTTTGTAGAATTCTGTTGAGTATTAAACAATTGCGTGAGTGTGAGGGTATTACAAATAAATTGGTCAGTAAGTCAGAGATGTGCAACTATATTTAACTTTTTGTTTTAAATGTTGTTTTATAAATAATTATGGGAAGTGCCCTTTTTCTCACTTGAGCTCCCGGCCCCCATAATGTCTGTGCACGTCCCTGATGCAGACGGACTGTAGCGGTTTGTCGGTGCAGCAGGCGTTCAGCACCATGGACAACGCCGCGCATCATTTCGCGCTCATTGGACCGGCACCGGGAGAGAGAGAGAGAGAACAGCTCCTGGAAGTTTTAAGTTGGACTTTCTCTCTCCCTCTCGAGAGACAGAGCTGAAACACAGATCTGTCTGAGAGCCTCATGATGATCGTCTGGTTGGTCTGCTGCTCTCTTCCCTACTCCGCCCCCCTTTAGCTGCTGGAGAGCGGCCAACAGTGATTTAAGTCGGACAGAGAGAGGAGACAGGAGCGTCTTTGCATACAGTGGGTAACCAAAAGGTGATTTTTCCGAACAATCCCCTGATCTTCACAAAGTTTGGCAACTCCAGCGAACTCACTTTTTCTCAATTCTCCCATATTTCTGTTTGGATTTTCTTTCTCTATTTGCCATGTCTTAAAGCAACAAGTGTTGCTCGCGACAGCTTGTAGACAATTATTTTTCCCAAACTTCACAAAAAATAAATGCCAACGACACATTAGCTTTCGTTCGGTGCAGTGTGGCCACCCAGTGTGCCGCCGGGACACTGGACCGCGATGATCGTGTACAACGTGAGCCTCAGCGGCTGCGCGGGGGCAAACAGCGCGCTGTGTGCCGCGGTCGGGGACGGGCACCAGGGGGGAGGCTCCTACCGGTCCACCCTGAGTCCGACAGGGAACCTGTTGGTGGCTGTGTGCCTGGGCTTCATCGGCACTTTCGGACTGCTCAACAACCTGCTGGTGCTCATTCTCTTCTGCCGCTACAAGATGCTGCGGTCTCCCATCAACCTGCTCCTGATTAACATTTCCATCAGCGACCTGCTGGTTTGCGTGCTGGGGACTCCGTTCAGCTTCGCCGCCAGCACGCAGGGAAGGTGGCTCATAGGGGAAGGAGGATGCATGTGGTATGGCTTCGCAAACTCCCTGTTTGGTGAGTAGAAATGCGTATACGATGACCGTTTGGGTTGTATTTTTACTGTACGTTGTTACAGGAGACTGATAGTACGCCGTATTTGTGGAGCTGCGAGAGCACCTCGTTTATTCAAGTAAAATACTTAATTTCTTGGGCTCGAAATTAAAGATACACAAATTATGCCTTAGCATATCTTTCCACGTAACTCTTTGTCTTTTTGGTTGTATCAAACTTGCAAGTAAAAGCATGAAATCGGTGTAGCCAATATGAATTGAACTGAGACAATGAGTTGCTTTATACGCCAAATTCGAAAAAATCGAACCCATTGTTTGGTCGATTTATTTGTTTTTCAGTCCTCCACATACTTGTGAAAATGGTCTCCCTTTTAAGCTTCCTTTTCTTCATTGTGTTTGTAATTATCCTGCAGATTTTAAAGGCTGCAGTTTGTCTCATTGGCTGTTGTGTTTGCGGAAAAGCCGTACGAGGTAACCCAGTATAGCGGGGTCTCGGATCTCACGCATGGACGCACCTCGCGGTCCCTTGTGATGCCTTGGTTTATGTCCGGGTGAGGAGATCTTGTGTAATACATCTCCATTTGGGGCTGCATGAGTGACTGTTGAATCTCTTCAAGCCCTCTTCCAAAGCTGCTCGTTTCATGGCTTCAGGGCCATTTTGGGAAGCATGTGCTGAACTCTCAGACGCTCATTCACTCGTTCAAATGTCCTTAGGAACTCTGGAAATGTGTCACACAGAGCTGTCAGTGCATTTAGGCTGATGTACTGTATAAAGATATGTACAGAGAGGTATCCAATGGCCGCTAAATTCTTGTTACTGCCTGAGGCAAGGGAAGATCATTGCTCATTAAGGTCTCTGGGATGTAGGGAAATGCAGTTGTTGCAGAAACAATTCACCATTAGGAAATGTGCAATGAGAAAAGAGGCTCTGGTTTAGTGGGGAAATGTTATAAGGTAAATGTACTCAAATATTGCACTCAAATACAATTTTAAGGTACTTTAGTATTTTAATGTTATGCTAAATTTTATACTTATACTCACATTTTGGTAGTCCCTAGTTCACTTCACGGATTCTGATTATTAGCTCATAGACAATATATATAAACTAAAATAACTTACATTGACATCTAATTATAGGCAGAGGTGGAAGAAGTACTTTTAGCAATATAGGGGGGAAGGTAAACGTATTGGTTACAAATAAAAGTCCTGCATTCAAAATTGCACTTTAGTAAAAGTTCAAAAGTATTGGCATCAAATTATGCTTTAAGTACGAAAAGGAACTGAAGTAATTTTGCAGATTTGAACACCATCTATTCATAATTGTGGTATAATAATCATTGATGCATCACTTCACTGTTGAACTTGGTAAAGGTGGGATTTATTTGGATTACTTTTGATAAAACTGGGTAGCTTAACCTTTAATATGCTAATGTATACGTTGATTTATATTTTTTGTATTATCTAAATCCTCAAAAATGTTACCTCAATCTGTAAAATAAATGAAGTGGAGTGAAAAGTACAACATTTGCCTACAACATGTAGAGAAGTATAACGTTGCATAGTGTGAAAATACATGTTATATTCCACCTCTGATTATAGGCTAACATTTCCAATGTGCATTACACTTAAAGTAAATAAATATACAGTATGTAAATATAAATTAACTAAAACTATAAAAACCCAGAAAATAAAAACAAAAAGAAACATCAGTAATAACCTAGTGCAGTTTCCATGTGTGAGGACTTATATCCTGCTAAATGTACGGCCAGAGTTATAACACTTAACCATTACTCTTCCATCTATAATGCTATTGGGGACCAGTCCGTAACACACTCAGTTCTTCAGAGAGCGTGTAATAATCTCTCCAATGGCAAGATGGACATCCGTTTTCTAAACCATAATGAGATATCAGGGGGATCTTCATCCTTCCATTTCTGCAGTATCGTGAGGCATGCAGCATTCAAAGCAATTCCAAAAATGAATAATATGAGTCTGATCCGAGAACAAATGTATATGGCTTTAGAGGGATATCAATGGGAGACACATTTTTTTAATCTGGCTTTGAACTGAAGCACAAAAAGATACCTTTCAGCATAATAAAGAGCACATAGGATCATAATACATCAACTCACAATTTACATATGTGAATAATCTTGTTTTGGGTCTCACGGGATCTGTTAGAAAAAAGCATTAAAGATAATGAATATTTCTACTTTTACTAGAGTATATAATCTGAGTACTTCTTCCACCACTGGGTCTACTTTTGCTCAAGAGTGCTGATAGCGATGCAAATTGGGTGCAGTGATAACACTGAGAATAATTGCTTTATCACCTGGAAGAAGACACAGGGTGGGGAAAAAAAGCTATTTCTAGAGGACATGGGTGCTATGTAAAAGTTGCAAAAAGGGAGTTTTGTATCAAAGAAACATAAAAACTAAAATCATATTGATTTTGCTTGAGCCCAGAATCCATCAAAGCTTCAGATGCATGATTAGGAATGACATTTGTTTGATGCTACAAATCATTTTCAGGATGCTTTAAGCATAAAAGTGCTCTCCTATCAGCGGGTGTCATTGGCCTGATGCTTGATTTGAGGTTATTTAATGAACAGCGCTTTCTTGTCATCAGTCCCTAATTGCTTAAAAGCTTTTTCCAAGGCATCCAAAACAAGCTTTGAAGACCAGGCAGCCTGTCGGATTTTTGAAAAACACTCGTTTATCCTCTCTGTGACATTCACACAATGTCAGGACATGTGCACTCATGTGTGTTATAAAATATCAAAGTGCATTCAAAGAATGTTTGGCAGACCAACATTTTGAGACGCGCCACTTGTCAGTAATTGCAGAATCGTTAAAGAAAAGAAAAACACATGAGTAGAGAGTTGGCATACACAGGACAAGTTTTGGTTGGCCTTGTTCATTAGTATGCTTGAGTTTAAGTCATTAGGAGTGGCATGTTTTAATAAGCTGTCATGTTTTTCGCTTTGTTCAAGCAATACAAACCATGTTAAGTGAATCAATGCCAATGGTATTCATGGTAAGCTTCTTTCTAAGATGAATTCTGAAATGACATTGGGAGACAAACATGTTTACTTTGTGAATGGCTTCTAACAGGATGATGAAATAGTAAGAGCTTTTTGAAAGGTGTAGACCTCCGCTGCCCTTTACAACCGTCAATGCAGGATGCCTTACTTAAAGTAAAGCAGCGCCATGCACACTTCTAAACCACCAAACATGTTGATAAATGTGAAGTAGAAGATGGAGGCTGAATTTGGAGAAATGTGTTGCTTCTGTAACCCTGTGACACATAGGACTGTTTCTGAGCATGGACGGATTGTGAGACAAAACTGTCCACCACCCCCCACTTGTGGGCAGAACACCCGGACTGAGAGAGACACAATTGTTGCGGTAGTTTTATCTCTTTGAGATAATACTGAGTTAGTGGTAGTTTTTTATTTAGAGATGATTGTAAAGCGATTGTTCTGAATAACTTTTGTTGATGGTTATTTGGTGTCTATTTGTGTATGTTCTGCAACTTTTATCCTAGTTTTTCACTCTTCGTATGTTTTTCATATCCTTGTGGTACTATTGTGACCTTTAATGGTAGTTTGGCCTATTTGTGGTAGTACTCATAATTTTGAAGTTTTTTCTGATAGTTTTGTGTTCCTTTTTGGTAGTTTTGTGTCTCTTTGTGTATGTTCAGCACCTCTTTTGGGTAACACTTTACAATAAAGTACACAACATGTGCTTAGTTACTGAGTAGTGAATAAGGAACGACTAGATACTTAATGGTTAGTTCAGTCAGACAACTCACGTGTTTCTTTAACATGTTTATTAGAAGCAGCATATAGTTAAGTTTGGCGTCTAGGCTCGGGCATCATCACTCCATAGATATACATAGCACGATGAGTGATGATCAAATAACTAACCCCCGAGCCTACAGGTGGAAGCTGGGGTGGAAGCTGGGGTGGTAGTGGGGCAGCAAGCAGCAGCGACGTAGAGGTAGCTGCAGCAATAGCAGCAGCAAGCAATGCATAGAGAGAGATCTGGAAGGTTAAATAGAGCGGCATATTAAGGAGACTCTGTTTGGTTGGTTGTAGAGTGGCAAGGGGGCGTTATGTATGAATGCAGCATAAGTGCTCGAGTTGACTGCCTGAAATAGCTCGCAGGCTTCGCCCCATTTAATGAGGAGTTCCTCAGTGACTGCGATTGAAGAACTGATGGCTAGTTACTGGTAAACAGACTGGGGGGGGGCACTGTATTAATGAATGATTCATTAATGGTTAGTTAATGAGTTACTTTGATTGAAGAACTGATGGTTAGTTACTGGTTAACAGACTTGGGGGTACTGAGTTTCCTGTCTTCTGTTTTTGTAGTGATGTGACGTGCAACCAGTGGCGTAACTATCAACGGTGCAGCCGGTGCAACGCAAAAAACTAAATAAAACAAAAATGTTTATATATTATTTTAAATATTCTTTTTTAATATTTTTCTTTTGGTGCCCCAATGGCATTGACCGGTTCACGCAGTCTTCAAAGTAACCAAGCAACCTACATGAATTTGTAATTTGTCTGTCCAATGACCTTGCTCCCTTTCATGTTATTTTGCAAGCAAAGTGCATGGAGCCACATGACCTGGTGTTAGGACAGTTAGCTCCTCCCTGCAGCAGAGGAAAGAGCTGCAGCCTTCCAGCCCTCACACTCAGTGAGAGAGATTTATGCAGCACAAACGTCCCTCCATGGCTTCTTCTCAGCAGGCCACCGTGTTGCCTCCTTTTATCTAGTGCTACTATTTCCACCCAGTATATTCAACATAACTAAATTGAATTTTATTTGACTTAAAAGCGTCTTACTGTAGATCTGTCAAACTTTTAAAATTGAAAACGGATTCAAAAGCGCTACTTTCACTTCCTCTGGGATGAGTTGGCAAGCCAATTCCCTCCACAGGATCACTTCATTTCAGTCGTATCGCAGAGAAATAAAGCGAGTCCTTGACGTTTGTCAGT